CACACTATATGTTGTCACAGCTGTTCATAAAGTGTAATACTAAACATACCATTTCCACCACACTATATGTTGTCACAGCTGTTCATTAAGTGTAATACTAAACATACCATTTCCACCACACTATATGTTGTCACAGCTGTTCATGAAGTGTAATACTAAACATACAATTACCACCACACTATATGTTGTCACAGCTACTTATAAAGTGTAACATTAAACATAGAAATACCAACACACTATATGTTGTCACAGCTGCTCATAAAGTGTAATACTAAACATACAATTTCCACCACACTATATGTTGTCACAGCTGTTCATGAAGTGTAATACTAAACATACATTTTCCACCACACTATATGTTGTCACAGCTGTTCATAAAGTGGAATACTAAACATACAATTACCAAAACACTATATGTTGTCACAGCTGTTCATAAAGTGTAATACTAAATTGGCACCCTTTGTAAGTATTTCTTTTCTGAAGAAACACATTAATACAATTACGTTACGACATACTTTGTTGATAAAAGAACACGTATTTACTCCAAAGGCCGGCGCTCGATTCTCTTCATGGGTATAATACAGGCATCTCATCCGCGGAGTTCCCGGCCTTAATTGTAGCTAGAAAATATGTGTTTCCAAGGCCAGACTTTCTTTTTTATTTAACGGGTTTTTGGCCGCAAAATTCAAGTCGGAATATATATATAATTTCGTTGTGTTTTGAAGTTTATACGATACATTATCAACAGGTTTAATCGTAGTATTTTCAAGAATTTTTTGATAGCGACGTTAAATGAGTTTTTAAATATTTCACTTATTTCAGGTCGGCGGGATAAAACAACACTGCTTTTCATTTTATTTTTACATTTAATTTTTTTTAAAGTCGGCGGATTCGTAAATAAAATCTTTTAAAAACGTGGCCTAAACTTTGAACAATGGAACCCTGTGTACCGAGGTTTTCGCCAAGTCGAATACTTATCCTGTTTTTGATGTTTGTAAATGATATCAAATGCGTGTATGTTGAGCTGGATGAATATCAACTGTGGACCTGTATATTCTCCGTGTACACGATGATAAGCATGAGGCTGTGAATAAGAAGGTGAAGGTGAACAGAAAAACAGATTGTTCATGACTCATAGAGTTCTTCAAATTGTGCTTCGTTATATATTTATCTACATGGTTCGTATCATTCACACGCCATCTAGTAAGTACCCACTTAAACTGTTCCATGGAAATAATTGTGGCTGTTTTATGGCAGAGCAAATGGGAAACGCTTTGAAATAAATCACACGTGCTCTTCAGCGGTTTCTTGTAATTTGACATGAAAGAATTAAGGTGTCTAATTCCTTAATAGAAATGACCCCACTTATACACCGACAGGTGTTGTGAATTTGGAAATAATTCAAGCATGTACAAACATCTTTGAAGATAGAAATCGGCCGACATTGTAATGGCTTGACTCCAAGCAATATTGTACTCTGTGGAGTATCACCGTTGGCAGCCATGTTTCCCGGAGCTAGACTGTATACCAGGCCATCACTGTACACCCTTGGGTCTTTTGATGGTGGAGGGGGTGGGGTGTCCCTTGTCTCTAGACCATAGAGCGTATAGCTTATCAAATAATCCAATTCTAAGCTTTATGAGACCCTCGGCGACAGACCCACTTCACCACCCTCCCGGCACACCCCTGACTCAACCCTCCCCTACACCCCCGACTTAACCCTCCCCCCACGCCCCCAACTCAACCCTGCCCTACACCACCGTCTCAACCCTCCCCCCAAACTACCGCATCTCAACCCTCCCCCCTCCCCCCGAACCCCCGAACCCCCGACCATAACCCCACCTTATCCTTTGCCATCTGACTTCACCCCCCACCCCCACCCCCTCCAGCCAACCCGTCCCTATCTCACCCCACCCTCTTACGACAAGCATGGGTTGCCGAAAACCTATTCTAACCCGGACCTTCACGGGTCCGGCAACGAATAGAAAAGTTTAGTTTGACCACCATTGACAACATTTGTACCAATGCTTGTACGGTGATAGATGTATCTGGAACATACTGACTTTACTGTGGCGCAAGTGTGCCAAAACCTACACCAACGTCAGTGAACATTTGTCATTCTCCGACTTTGTCTCCTTGGAGGTACGAGGACATGGCACACTGGTACTGACACTGCGATATGAGGTCAATGGCCGCACGGACATCGACCTTCTTCGATCTGCGATAACCCGCTTTATGACTCCTCCGCAATTCCATAACGCTATTACGGGAACCAGACCACCAGCAATAGTTATTATGTAATCACGTTCCGTGTCTATATATTGCCAAATGAAGTGTAACGCCGGCTACTGAGCCATAATGGCACGCTATTGATGAGAGCTAATGACGCCACCAACAAGATCAGTCCCGCCCGGCAGACAGTCCAACCGCACATGTATCTTTTTCATGTATTTACGAGAAATGATTTAAAACTGTCATTGTTTTATGCTCGAGTACGTGGGGGGCTTGCCTCCATCACAGGGTCCATTAACGTTGACGGGACGACGTTAGCGCATAATGGGCCTGCCACCCCAGCTTACAGTGAGACAGCGCACAGAACTTGGGGCAAACCTACCGTTACAGTTTGTAGCGATTAGGATGACATCATAGTCGATGAGACATTAGTTTTGTTTTGTTTGTTTGTTGTTTAACACCGCAATATTCCAGCTATATGTCGGCGGTCTGTGAATAATCGAGTCTGGACCAGACAATCCAGTGATTGTTGTTATTAGCATCGATCCACACCATTGGGATAAGATGACATGCATCAACCAAGTCAGCGAGCCTGACCACCCGATCCCGTTAGTCTCCTCTTACGACAAGCATAGTCGCCCTTTACTGCAAGCATGGGTTGCTGAAGAATTATATCAGTAGATGAGATATTAGTAGATCTTAGCAGTGGGGATCTTAGTATATGAAATATTAGTAGATGAGATCTACAGCAAATCTTAGTAGATGGGATTGTTGTAGGTGAGATCTTGAGTTTGTTGTTTAACGCCGCACTCAGCAATACTCTAGCTACATGACGGCGGTCTGTAAATAATCGAGTCTGGACCAGACAATCTTAGTAGATCTTAGTAGATGGAAGCTGATTATTCTATAATATTCTGCTACAGAAATACTGACTTTAGCCTGATTATTATAATGGTTCAAGGTTCATTCCAATACAAGAAATGTGTGAACGTCATTGTACGTAACTCTGAGAGAATAGTATTACTGTCTTATCCTGTAAATTCCATGGATGTCAAAACATGCCACTCATAAACATGTGAAAAATCATTTGACATTTAGAAAGCAAACCCCCAATCTCTTCATAAACAGGTGCTGTGCGGCAGTGGTTAAACGTTTGCCCGTAATGCAGAAGGTCCGGTTCGAATCTACATTTCTGGTGTACCCCGCCGTGATATTGCTGGAATATTTATTGCGGCATAAAACCCAACAGACTCGAAAAACAGGTATATGTTGTGGTCTGATTGAATACCTGGAAGACAATATACCTACATCTGTCTCAGTCATCACAACGTGATGTTTGAACTAGACCGTCGTCGTATTACAGCTGGGGCGGTCGGTATTATTGCTAAAAGCGGCGTAAAACCATACTCACTCACTCACTCACTCACTCGTATTACAGGTGAGGGGCGGTGGGGTAGCCTAGTGGTTAAAGCGTTCGCTCGTCACGCCAAAGACCCATGCTCGATTCCCAAAATGAGTAAAATGTGTGAAGCCCATTTCTGGTGTCCCCGCCGTGATATTGTTGGAATGTTATACAAGTGGCGTTAAAACATACTCGCCCACTCACTCACTCACGATATGCCTGAAATATTGTCGATGTGACGTTAAATCTCAACTCACTCACTAGAACTAGACAAACGATTGAAGGGATAGGTCGTCATTATAAAACTATTCTGAAATTGCCGTTTTTATTGATTGTCATAAATATTAAGCAGAAAAGATAAAACACAACCTGCCGATATTTTCAACCAATCACAGGCCAATTATTTTCCAGTATCATTGGCAAATAATGTTGTTTAATGTTGTCGTGAAAATATATTACTGGTTAACCTTCCCACTTGAGAGTTAATTTACATGTAAAAACGCCGAAATGATTTTCTGTCTTTGAAGTTCACGAGATCGTTGCGTGCATCCCCGGCTTTTAGAGCTAATGAGCGCCCTCTATTGACTTACCTGTCTGTGCCAGTGCAGAAACCCTCGTCCCACACCCCCTTGTTAAGTGCTTTATTGAAATGTACAACTGATAGTGTTATTTAGACAAAGTTGCCAAATATCCGATAAGTCTACGGGCTAGCGATGTTGTTTTTTTGTAACGGTAACATCACGATATCGCACCACGCCTCGAGGAGCAATGGTTTTGGCTCGATATGCTCTTCTCGTTCCCAATCAACCAGACGGTAATACACTGAACCAATGGTAGTGGCGACTGGCGCTCTCATGGGTGTGATAGGTATGGAGGTAGATATATAGCATGTGCATCGGAGGAGTGGGTGCTGACGTTGGGGGTGGGGGCAGTATTGTGTGAGTGTCGGGTTCTATTGTGTGAGTGTCAGGCTTCAGCGTGTGAGTGTCGGGCTCTAATGTGTGAGGGTCGGGCTCTAATGTGTGAGGGTCGGGCTTCAGTGTGTGAGGGCCGGGCTCTCGTGTGGGAGGTGTGAACTCTAATGTGTGAGGGTCGGGCTTCAGTGTTTGAGGGCCGGGCTCTCGTGTGGGAGGTGTGAACTCTAATGTGTGAGGGTCGGGCTTCAGTGTGTGAGGGCCGGGCTCTCGTGTGGGAGGTGTGAACTCTAATGTGTGAGGGTCGGGCTCTCGTGTGGGAGGTGTAAACTCTAATGTGTGAGGGTCGGGCTTCAGTGTGTGAGGGCCGGGCTCTCGTGTGGGAGGTGTGAACTCTAATGTGTTAGGGTCGGGCTCTCCTGTGGGACGGGTGAACTCTAATGTGTGAGGGTCTAGCTGTAGTTGTGAGGGTCGGGCTCTCGTGTGGGAGGTGTGAACTCTAATGTGTGAGGGTCGGGCTTCAGTGTGTGAGGGCCGGGCTCTCGTGTGGGAGGTGTGAACTCTAACGTGTGAGGGTCGGGCTCTCCTGTGGGAGGTGTGAACTCTAATGTGTGAGGGTCGGGCTTCAGTGTGTGAGGGCCGGGCTCTCGTGTGGGAGGTGTGAACTCTAATGTGTGAGGGTCGGGCTTCAGTGTGTGAGGGTCGGGCTCTCGTGTGGGAGGTGTGAACTCTAACGTGTGAGGGTCTAGCTGTAGTGTGTGAGGGCCGGGCTCTCGTGTGGGCGGTGTGAACTCTAATGTGTTAGGGTCGGGCTCTCCTGTGGGAGGGGTGAACTCTAATGTGTGAGGGTCTAGCTGTAGTTGTGAGGGTCGGGCTCTCGAGTGGGAGGGGTGAACAGTAACGTGTGAGGGTCGGGCTCTCCTGTGGATGGGGTGAACTCTAATGTGTGAGGGTCTAGCTGTAGTTGTGAGGGTCGGGCTCTCGAGTGGGAGGGGTGAACTCTTACGTGTGAGGGTCGGGCTCTCGAGTGGGAGGTGTGAACTCTAATGTGTGAGGGTCGGGCTCTCCTGTGGGAGGGGTGAACTCTAACGTGTGAGGGTCGGGCTCTCGTGTGGGAGGGGTGAACTCTAACGTGTGAGGGTCGGGCTCTTCAGTTTCACGGACTGTAGTTTGTGGAGCGTTGAGGCGGACATGCCCATATGCTACAGTATCGATCACTGTTCAAGATGACTTTTTCCTAATTGAATATACTTCAAACTAAATGTACAAACACAAAACCCTAACAGTAAAACTCATGTTTTGTGCGCTAATGTATACGGAAATTAAACCTAGGAGTGAATGGTTATAAAATACCACCAGTGACCCTATGAATTTGTCCACGGTTGCTACGACAACGATAAGCTTGGAAATAATACTAAGACACGTTGTATGAATGGTCCTAATGTAGAGGTCATTGCACTGAAGGCCATGACGTCACACTATTGCAGCGTCTGTCAAATAGTCACAGGAAAGTCAGAAATATCGAAAACTGTTTCAATCTATTTCGCTCAAACGCCATTTCATATTTTTAACATTGAGCCTCTGTTTAAAAATGTTGGTCCCAGCGTCGACATAGCTGGAGCCCCTTGTGACGTCCTCGCGCTGTGTCGGAAAACCTACGGTGTCCCACTAGGGACATATTACCACTGTTACAATTCTTCGTAAAACCTGTTGGTTTACAGAAAGGTTAACATCATGTAGCTAAAGTGTCGCAAACAACCTTATTTTTCAATGCATTTAGTGTGTCGGAGATTTGAAACATTTCACTGTCGTTATTGAGTGTCAGAATATAAATGTGTTTTGCTGCTGAATAACGCTTTATCCTTGCTAAATAGCTCTTACGGGATTCCATAGAAATTGCTAACCCTGCTTTTATTTACAGCCGAGTACGAAGTGCCCTCAACTGGTGGAAGATAAACATGGTCATTTGCTTAAATCGAGACATTTAGAATCCGAATTATCGAATTGTCGCTGGTGTCAAATGCCCCTCATCTTGGGAAACGGCCTTGTTGTTTACGTTGCCATGACTGAACGGGCACAATTGCGTCAACAACAAACAACCACAACATTCAACAACAAACAACCACGCCATTGTACACATTCAGAGCATAGCATCAGTGGAGAGTTGTCTCGGTGTTTCGCTCACCACATAGTAAACATGTGTAAATATTTGTGATAATATAGTGTCACATTATGTTGTGATTGTAACTGTTTTAAATTTTAAAATATTTACTTTTAAGGTATTTACTTTTAATCGCTGTACGTTCCCACATTATGTGAAAATATACATCTCTGAAGAGCACAGTGAATGGTTAGTGTTATACACTAATATAAGTCGCTTTTTGTCATGAATCAGTTAATTTCACATGAAATAACAACATGTGCCATAGTGTTGATTTATTAATAAAATACGCTTTATGGAGCATATAAAGCGTTATGGAGGATATAAATGGTTAACACGCGATAAAGGTCACACCAGGCTTTTCACAAATTCTTGTGACAATTCTGTCACATGTCTTCAACTCCCACTAGTACAATCAAAATAACCAAAAAAAATCAGTAAAAACATTAGTGTCAATTAAAAATGAGCAAGAATAGATAACACGATTAGTGAATGTGAAATGTCCAATACGTCATGTCAAGCAAACAGTTTCATTATAACTAAATAAGTGAATATGGCGTCCCACATCAAATAAATAAGACTCTCTAAATCGCCTGAGTAGGACACCCTACATCGCCTGAGTAGGCCTCCTACAGCAAATGAATAGGGCATCCTACATCAAATGTATAGGGCACCCTACATCAAACAGCAGGACATGCTTACCCTTTTCGCGAACACCTGGTGTCATCACTGATTTCTTCATATAATTGGCATCACTATTTTGCCTTTTACGCCTGATGGAATCTGTTTCCGCGGATAATCGTGACTGGTTATTCTCTGGCGTTGACGTGTTATATTGAGTAGGGTATTGTAACAACTCCATGTACCTGGGTCGCCCTGTTCAGTCAGCCCGTCTCATTGTGCGGTGTCCGTCCTCCGACCTCCGTCAAGAAGCTCTGAAAGGAAGGACCAGAAGTCAAGCATCATAATCAAGCTGAGAGTTATAGAGTAAAGTAAACTAAAAAAGAATGTTAATCCAGGAAGCCGCAAGTTCCAGAAATTGGAAACACTAATTTTGAATCGGATTAATCGAGCTTTACAAGTCTTAAAGCATGCATGTTTTTGTCTGCAACGGCATAAACCCCAAGCTCAGAACTCTTCGTCACCCCAACTCCCAGTCTGTCTCCCAGAAACTAGAGAATAATTTAAAAAATCCAACTCAAGTCTTGGATGATTTGGCAAGCTGAGACTGCCTCAGCTCTGTTCTGTTTTGGAATCTATTTTGAAAGGTATATGTTTTTAAAAAAGATAACTTAATTTCTGGAACTAAATGCTAGTGTACCCCATTCCCTTAGACTAACATTTAGTCTCTGAAATCTTATATTACACAATATCCTTCTTGACTCTAAAAATAAAAAAAATTTCCCTATGCTGATTTCATAGACTGTGGAATAGAGTTAGCTTGAGCTGGCTAGACTTGCTTTTGTATGCATTTCTAGATTATTATTTTTTCATAAAATAAATATATTCCACGGTCATGGTGCAGGACTACCCATTCCCTCAGTGTAATGAATATCTGGGATAGAATCGGTTCGGTCTTCAGCAACCCTTGTGAGGACCCCGTGAGGATCCAGGTTAGAAGTGGTACACATGCTAGTCGTAAGAGGCGACTAACGGGCTTGGGGGTCATACTCGCTGACTTGGTTAATACATGTCATCATACCAGCTATTTCAGTCCGCCGTCTTATAGCTATGATATTGCTGAGTGCGGCGTTAAACAAAAAGGTAAACACAAAACAAGCAATCTTCAGTGAACCCGGTGGCCTTGCTCAGGGGCATAATGAATAAATATAGTTTTGTGTATGTCTAGAATACCAATAAAATTTATGATTTACAGACCGCCGTTATATAGCTGGAATATTGCTGAGTGCGGCGTTAAACAAACAAATATTAAGTGGCTCGGATAGTGTAGCATTAGGATTATGGCTAGACAAGAAGAAGAAGAAGAAGAAGAAGAAGAAGAAGAAGAAGAAGAAGAAGAAGAAGAATCAAGAATTTTTATTGTACAGTGACAAGTGAAGAAGACAAAATGGGTTATTCTGTTTCCGACAAGCAGATTGTGTGAATGTTGTCGGGCTACGGAAATCCCCCGCTAACCCATAAATCTTGGGAACCGTCCATTACTGCATTGTCGAAACAAGGTGGGCTATACATCTTACTGGCATAGTGACCCAGTGACACCGTCACCCTTGCATTCCGACCACCTGTCAGTGCCAGACCACCATCAAGTTGTCCCACACAGTCCTGTGACATACGCGCATGCGTCGTGAATGCCAGTGTCGATCTGGCCTGACGTGGCGCCCCCTGGAGACGGTTGTCAGTGGCACGACACAGCTAGATTCATTCCTCGCGCAGGACAGCGATGCCATCTCTCGTGTACATATTTACGTGTCGTTTCCTTAAACAAGACAAAGGGGAGGTAAGGCACAGAGTGTGACCAAATGATTAGAATGTAATGTTTGAACTGAATCGTCTCTTTGAATGACTTTCAAACATACCACCGTGGTAGCTACCAAAGTCACAGACTTCGGTTTAAAGACACATGCATCTGTGAAATATCATAGATTATAATGAGTGTCCTTGGCACACACCTACGGATCCCAGCAGATAGTTGAGTATTACCTGAATCCTAAATGGGCCCAGTCTTAAATGGCAGTGTTCGAAATACCTGCCTGCCCGACCGTCCGAGACGGGTTGATTTCAACTCGGGCTGCCAGATTTTTCAAATCCCCCTGCCCGACGGTCGGGTTATATTTCATATGTGAAAATATTCAAAATATTTCCCGATGATAAGCATTAATTCACATGTAAAGATGAATGATAAAATGTAACCAAAAAGAAACCCCGTTAGCTTATCCTGAGAAACATATGATTATAGTGGGCAGGCAGGTTTTGGTCAGGGCTGGCAAGTATTTCAGCTAGCCAGTCCTGTGGTCTGGCTGAAATTTTTGGGAGTTTCATACCCTGTAAATGGGCCTCAGCCAAATACCAAATCCCAGCGCGTGACACCTTCGTTACCCTCTCGATAGTGTGGAGAGCCCCACGAACGGGATATCGCTGCGTGGAGCTTGGCCAAATACAGTTTAGGGGAGATAAATCTCACTAGCAACCTGCCAAGTGCACGCGCATGGCTCCCGCCAAGCTGCTAAGTGCCACAGTTATGTGTACCGCGACAGTTATGATCATTAGACATTCAGTTATGGAATAAAGACAGCTTGGTGATTTATCACCTCAGTACGTATATCGGAATCAACTAAAACGTAATGCTCCCAGCGCACTAGTTGTACGTCAAGTAGCATCAGGCACGTCTCAATGTCAAGGTCGTAGAGGAAGTTGCACACAGTGCACCCACTTGGGGTCGGGTCCATTTGACAAAAGGTATTAATACACTAATAGAAAAGAAATTGAGAAGAAAATAGGAGCTTGTTGATATCCACATGTATATTAAAATAGGTATGTCATATAAGTCATGTGTATGTATGTATGGATGGATGGATGGGTGGATGGGTAGATGGATGAAAGATGTTCAGGATTACAGACATTTAAAAAAAAAAAAAAGAGTACTGGAGTAGCCTAATTCCATCAGATCTAGGAAGAGTTTGGATTTACTCGTATGTGATGAAATTTTTGGTGTGTCCTTCATAGTTTACTTCAGGGGTTAAATTGCAATGGGCATGCTGTCTATTTCTATTTCCTTGACTAAAACCAACATCCATCACACATTTCAAACGTCTGCTGACTTTCGGCAGTTTATTTATGTAATTGGCCTGTTAGTTCCGTTATTACAGAGAAGCTGAAGATAAAAATACCCTGTGAGACCTTGTTCATCTGAACTAACCATTCGCCGAATTCGCTGTCATGCACATTCGACTGACATGCACTTTACCGGGCGAGAAGATGGAAACGATTACAGTGTTAACTTTTAATACAGAGACAGGGTGAACGTCTTCAGATTCAATATCTGCAGCATCACGGTTAATGTCGTAATAATGCCGGCAAATTAGACGCTAATACAACACGTGAGATGTCTGTTACAGATGCGCCGATGTTCCCCCCATGGCTGGGAGCGTTGTTGGCTCCAGACCTCGGCGCAGTGGCTCCAACAACGCGGAAATTGTCAGAGGAGGATTGCATAAAAATTCATGGAAATTAGATTTGAGCTGAATTAGCCTCATAATAAAGATACCTGGGTTATAACTGTAAATATGAAATACAAAAACAGGAAGGGAGTAGGTTATGGACAGTTGCAACAGTTCATTTATTAATAGGAATGGCGGCGCCCTTGGTCACATTAATGAGTTAAATAGATGATTCATACCCACGTCTAGCCAATAAAGAGTCTGCTCCAGGAAGTAAGAGTTGTCTGCCCCTAGTCGGCGAGTTGTAAGGCATGCAGTGTTTCTGGTCATCGTACACCGCCTCTGTCACGTGACCACTACAGCGCCGCCTGGGCAGTCTGTGACAACCACTAGTGCACTGTACACTGCGACATCTTCGATGACTGTAATGGGAAGCAATCGTTTCTCCTTACCGACGTATTTCTCACAAGCAGCAGACATACAACACTATATAGAATATTAAAATTTGCCTTGCTTGGGGCATAGTCGTATCAAAATTAAGTACTTGAATAGCATGAACACTCAGGTATCCCCGTCAAAACGTTGAACATCTATTGTCAAACACTCAGGAACCGCCATCAAACATTGAACATCTATTGTCGAACACTCAGGAATCCTGGTCAAAACGTTGAATATCTATTGTCGTACACTCAGGAATCTCCATCAAAACGTTGAACATCTGTTGTCGTACACTCAGGAATCTCCCTCAAAACGTTGAACATTTATTGTCGTACACTCAGGAATCCTGGTCAAAACGTTGAACATCTATTGTCAAACACTCAGGAACCGCCATCAAAACATTGAACATCTATTGTCGAACACTCAGGAATCCTGGTCAAAACGTTGAATATCTATTGTCGTACACTCAGGAATCTCCATCAAAACGTTGAACATCTGTTTTCGTACACTCAGGAATCTCCCTCAAAACATTGAACATCTATTGTCGTACACTCTGGAATCCCGGTCAAATCGTTGAATATCTATTGTCGTAAACCCAGGAATCCCGGTCAAAACGTTAAACATCTATTGTCGTACACTCAGGAATCTCCATCGAAACGCTGAACATCTATTGTCATACACTTAGGAATCTCCCTCAAAACGTTGAACATCCATTGTCGTACACTCAGGAATCCTGGTCAAAACGTTGAACATCTATTGTCGTACACTCAGGAATCCCGGTCAAAACGTTAAACTTATTGTCGTACACTCAGGAATCTCCGTCAAAACGTTAAATATCTATTGTCGTACACCCAGGAATCCCGGTCAAATCGTTGATTATCTATTGTCGTAAACCCAGAAATCCCGATCAAAACGTTGAACATCTATTGTCGTTCACTCAGGAATCCCTATAAAGAAGGGTGAACATTTGCATCAATTCTCATACCAGTGTTTGAAGGTGTGTCGATTCCTACAGGGATATTGTCTTTGAAGCGATACATGATAAGTTGAAGACATTACATTACATTACATTACACACTCGCCTTTCCCCCCAATTCACATTCCCAGTGTTAGCCAAGTGGAAATAAACTGTACACCATGTCTGATGGTGGCGATGGGGGTGTATTTAATATGGGTGTCACATTGTGTTTTGCACCTAAGGCTTTCAGTGTTTATGCGACTGTTTTTAAGATAAGTGACGTTTCGACAACGTTTGTTATGTTTTTTGTCAATACATAGAGGATATTTCATGTGTCGAGTGAAATATCATGTTTCTCTCAGTAACGAGATGAGAGAAACATGATATTTCACGAGTCACATGAAAAATCCTATTTATTATATGCTTTTTGTGTAGTTTTCTACCGGAAAATTATATTATTTCATTACAAATGCAAAACCTTGAAACGTAAATTCTCCCTACCTAACACACAGGGACGGTTCACCAGCCCTTGTATTTGCGACTTTAAAAGAAGTTTCGTGTTTGCAAATCTCAAAAAGATATAAACAAAAGTATAAAAAAATATGTAGGGTCACGATAATTCGTGATCATACATTTCGATATGATCATATACCAAATCAATTTAAAAAAAAAAATATTCTTGAAAACTAGAAGACCGATGTTGGAAGCGAAAGGATACACGCTGGTCACGTTACAAAAATGGCGCTTTGCAAAACGAACAGTCTCGATTGACGAGTTAAATGAGATATTTACCATTTATAAGCAAACATTTTCGAGAAAATAACAAACAGCAAGAAGTGAGTACACTACAGTATAGTGCAGATGGTTTCAATTTTGTTACAATCTCACTTAGCATGGGGATAAAGTGAAATGTGTCCTTCTTGATTACAGCAATGTGTTTGTTTTGTGAGCAGGCAGCACCTTGGTTTAAAGTGTATAGGCTCATATTTTGTAATGTTACTCTGAAATATGCTTACTGATGTTAAACTTGGTGAAAAGCCTTTTCTTCATCACTAGGAGCCCGAAAGAGTGAAACATGACGCCAATACTTCTTCACTGTTATTAAATAAAAGCGACAAAATCCTTCCATATTCATAAGAAATATCTACAAAAAGCAGAGTCGATTGTACGATTCCGACAATATCATGAGCATGTGTTTATGAATCACTATCAAATAGCGACGATACCACGTGGCACCCGGCACAAACACATGCAAAGGCAAGTCAATTGTTCACTTGAAAAAATGATATTGTAGACTATATGTCCCCAACCCAGGATCTGGGGATGCTGATATTGCATCTGTGTATCCGTTTGTTGTTATTTGCCGACGGCAGGACAATAAATGAATAGTTACACGATCAAAGAATTTTTAGAATGGCATAGATCTCATATATTCTGATTGTTAACAGGAGGGTTTGGTGGTCAGTGTTGAAACACTAAGGTGGGTGTTTTTGTGAAGGAGTAGGAGGGTAGCACAAAAAGGAAAGTGTTTTTTAAGAGTAAAAGAGTAGTAGTAAGTGATACATTCAAATATTTAGATGTGGTTTTCTCTTCGTCAGGTTACTTTTCAGAATCCCATCAAGCGTTGCCTGAACATCCTTCTCACTTCGTCGCATCATAAACAGTGATCCATATACTTCCCTAGATACACAGCGTGACTTGTTAAACACACTCGTTCCACCAATACTGTTAGGGCTCTTGGGTTGGGGGATTTATTGAGACCCTTGCAGTTGAGAAAG